ATTTTTCCTTCCTTCCTTTGTTTAGTTATACTTTGTGAATGTGTTTAGTAAATAAAATGAAGTTTAAGTGCATTTAAAATCTGTTTGGGGAGCTTGTATGCAGGACAATAACCTGGGTGGTCTGAGGGTGGACAAGCAGTGGCAAACAGCGGACCGATATATGCTCGCTATCCAGGACACAGATGCAGAAACAGTACGCAGTGACAAAGTACCAACAACATCAATGAGCTCATTCATTGTGCTGTACTTAGCCACACTGTTATTTTTAGGATGGAATGTTCAACTTGCTTCGTTCTTATTTTGTTTGCACTGAGATGCAGATACAGCCATGTGTCAGTCACACAGCAGTGTCTAATGCAGTTAACCTTATGCAATTAACATTGCTAGCATAAATGCTAATTTATATATATATAACCGTGATTCACCTAAGCAATTCATAGCAGCTGTAGCTAAAACACAGCTAACTCATGACTGACCAGACGTTCAGTAAAATTTCAGCAACATTTCATCTGACTTGTCAGTAAAGATTTAAAATTAAAGTCTGTAACTGAATATCTCTGAAGGGTCCTAATTAGGCTGTTAGCTATTAGCCTGTTAGCAGGTTGTATTTTGTTCATAAAATAAATAAAGTGAAAAGCTTGTGGAATATAGCATGCTCTACTGTATTATTATACTATAGCATGTGATATTTGGTAGGTAGTATAGGTAGTTGTAGTGGTAAATATTGTCAAAGGCTATAAGTAAAGTTAAATCAGGAACAACTGCATCTGGTTAGCTAAATAGCTAACAGGATACAATGACCATTTCAGTTAGTAGAAAACTGAACGTGAATGATAAGCTGTGATAAATTGTCATCAAAACCTTTATTATTAGTCGATTTTTTAAATCACAAGTGTGTAAAAATGAACATGAAATACTTTTTTCCAGCTAAAGAGGCAAACATTATAACATACAGCTTTTCTTCCAGTAACACCATAATTACACTGTTATCTGGTTCCAAGCAATTTTAAGCTAAAAGAAAAAAAGTTTTTTTCCCTATTGATTTATTTAATTTAACCGAAAAGTAATTGTATCTTGTGTCCATGCACAACCCTGTTCCCCAAACCTGTTCCCCCTTTTAGAAAAAATGGAACATTCCATGATGATGATATATACAGGAATTTGCCTCATGTTCTTGTTTTCTGCAGAATGACCGTCAGGCAAGTAAGAATTCTTATCCTGTGTTAGTAATTTCCACACAAAAAATGGACTTATATTTATGCAAACTATGTGGTTATTAGTAGTTGCACTCTGGTCACATGAGTCACGTGTGAATCCAACCACTTCTGAGTGCTGGCTTATTTTAGGCTGAATTTGCAATTATTTTAAAATGAAAACAAAAAGGAAAATGGCTCGAAAAAAGTTTGATTAAAACATTTTAAAAAAAAAGAAAATAACTCTGATTTGACACCCTGAGGTGAGAAAATAACATTTTCTGAAGGTTAAGCACTTACTTTGAATTGATACTTTGTAAAAAATCACTTAAAGGCATAAAACGAACTCTGCTCATGTAAAGGGCCATCTAAAACCACCAGTGCATGTACAGGTGTCTTCTGAGTTCTTTTATGTAATGTTGATATTGGTAAAATAGTGATAAATATGAAAAAAAGGTTTTTAGGGGGATAAATTAGCCTTGAAAGAGTTCTAAAAGTATGTTTTAGGCCAAAACTTTATCTCAAAACTATTGCAAAACAATGTCTCGAATATCAGGCTGCGTATTCATAACCATTTCATGTAATAAAAGTCTGTGATGTAGCTTTCAGAAGCATTAAACCTGATGTATTCACTCTGTGGTGTGTGGGGAAATTTCTGGACTTTGTCATCAAACTGTTTTGTCATTAAACTGTACTTATTGTCATGTGCTGCTTTTTATTTTATTTTATACATTTTTGTTAGCCAGTTAATAATAGACTATTTGGATTATTTGACCTGATTTTCTTTATACATAAGCTGCAGTAGTTTGTATATTGACAAGTTTGTTTTAGCTGAGGGGGACCAAGTTCTCAAAAAACTGGCAAGGGGGCCCCAGGAGAGAAAAGTTTGAATACTTCTGCATTAAACTCTCCAGATATTTGGTTCCTATCACCACCATTGTGAACAATTCTGACTCTGCAAGTTTCTCTACAATTGAGGATTTCACATTAAACCACCAAACTTTGTTTGCATCTTAACCATTTAATTATATGAAAATTTCTGTGCATTGGTAGAATTCCCCTTTACCACCCGATTCAGCTGGGAAGAATTAATGCCCAGTGATGAAACTGCTTCAAATAAGAATATATTTTCTCAAATAGGGTATTTTCACTAAATTAGCATTGTAAATTCCACAAGTCATCTCAGTAATGTGCACAGAGAAATTTTGGCCTGGTGCCACCTAGACTTCCTCTTTCTCACTTACTGTTTCTCAGAAATGCTCAGCGTGATAGTAAAACGAGCTGAAGTGCAGCACATGCACATCAGCATTTCATTTGCTCTTAAACCACTGAGTGATGTAATAAATTATTTACAGTGCAGTACTGCAAATCCACATTGGCTGTAGCTTTTTTTTAAATGGTTGATGATGGAAATTCCCAAAACTTTACATTCTGAACTCATAGCAATAATGAAACGAGCTTGCTGTGGCAGAAACAGGATTAAATACACTGCATGTTCATGCTGCCAAAATCTATGCTGTTGTTAGGAAAACATCCAATAAAGTACATAGAATATGTATATGTGTACAATGTGCAGTGCAGATCAGCAAGCATGCAGTGTTTCACATCTTCAGTCAAATGAAATAAGTACCATTGATATCGTGAATTAAAGTTCTGAATGCAGCATACTGTACATACCACATACATGGTGTGCTTCTTTGTTGAGCTGTGAGCTGAAAGAGTAATAAGTGATATTTACACATTGTGCATCAAAATGGGAAAAACATACATTTGTGCTATTTATAAAAACCTTCCCTGTTCACATATGGTATGGTCATTCTAGTATTATGAGAGGTCAGGGGGTCAAAATCATGTCCTTGAGGGCCAAATCTCTGAAGAAGTTTGCATTTTCCCCTCTTCTAACACTCTGAGTTCAACTCATAAAGGTCTTGCTAATTGGCTGATGAGTTGAGTCAGGCATGTTTTATGATGTCAAATTCGTAACTATGCTGTGGCCTGTAATGACTGGAGACACCTGCAATCCAGACACAGAATAAAGCCCATGGGAATGATTATGGGCATTTCAGTTAAAAATACACTGTCCAAAAGTTTGTAGACACCTGCTCATCCAGAGTTTCTTTGAAGATCAAATGTATCAACAGGAATTATACTTCATGTGGATTTGTTCAGAAGTGGTGGTGATAGTAAGCAAACTTCTAAAGGCTACTGCAGAGAAAGCCTATACATAAAATGCTTATAAATACATTGCCTGATGATATTGTTTAATGAAAGTTTAGCTATAAGCTTCTGGCCTAAAATCTACTTTTAAAATAAATTTATGGCAGAGAAGTACATGCAGGCAAAACAGTCTTCATAGAAAACTTAATCAGTTTTTACTATTTTACCATCATCAATATTACCTATAGAAAATCAGGAGATACATGTAGGTTCACTAGCTGTGAATAATATAGAATATAATATAGAAATATGGCTATATTTGCGTTCTAGCTATTGCAACCTTCGGTTTCTATCACCAGTTTCTCTACACCATTTTACATCAAACCACTCTGAATGACTTTGTTTACATCTTAATGACGAATCATTAAGCTTCCCCATACTCTTCTGGAAAGGCTATAAACTAGATGTTGGAATGCTGCTGTGAGGATTTGATTGCATACAGCCACAGGAGCATTAGTAAAGTCAGGTACTGATATTGGATGATTAGTTCTGGATCACAAACATCATTGCAAAGGTATTGATGAGGCTCAGTCACTCCAGAGAATGCAGTTCCTCTCCCCCATTGTGCACACTGTTGGGTGCTTTCTACCTCAGAGCATCCAATTCTATTTGTTATGCTTTTTTATGGAGATGATGTGTCAACAATGGGTGCACCTTAAAGTAGCTTAATTCACTAATTACAAAGAGTGTCTAAACGCATTTGGAAATATAGTGTACATGGTATTCTTTTACTATTTCAAACAAGCTTTCTTCCTATCTATAATGAATATAGCATAATCCTTTAATGCAAATACAATAGCTACTGTATAAATTACTTTACTAACAGTAGATATTTCTGCCCTACAAGCAAATGGATTAGACATTTCTTGGAAGTTTCTTACTACAAATCTGAAAAGCATACATTTAAAATTCTGATATTTACTCTCCCATTGTTTTCATTTTTCACTGGAATATAACTAGAGTCAATCAAACCAACAACTTAGTGCTCTTTTGAGAAGCTTGTTTATTGAATTCCAATCTCAACAATTTCAAAAAGAAAAGTCACACTCAACAGAGCAAAAAGTGAAAAGTACAGACACAAAGTGAAATATGAAATCTTTGTACATCACAGTGTTTAGTGGTCAGCTGAACAAAATTAATTACATTGAAAAACGTACATTCAGTGGAGAAACGTCAGTTAGATGTATGAAAATATCAGCACAGTGAAAGTCCATGACTGATGAACAGCTGCCTTCTTTCTGTTGACCTCAGGGTGTCTATGGAAAGAACCTTGAGAACAAATGACACTCTGGAGTTTCTTCTACTGTGAGCGCCTACAAAACAGCAAAAGCACTTCTTTGAATACATATTCAGCGAGGAAAGTGTGTCCTGTATACCAACCAACAACTATAAAAATGCTTACTGGCGTGAAGATGAAGCTTCAATTTATGCTAAAAATACCTAAACTAACCTGTTTTCCATCATCTTCTTGATGAGCTCCTGGACAAAGTTTGACTCTGGGTTCAAGCATTTCTTCCCTGCACCGTCCTTCAGAGTCACACTGCACATAAACATGAGGATGAAGATGGGTTAAGAGACTTAATCAATCCACATGTGAACTGAATGGCAATGCTCAAGTATTAGAGGTTCTTTAGAGTGATGCCATAAAAGAACCACTTTTGGTTCCCTAAAGAACATTTTAGTGAATGTTTTTTTAAATAAACTCAACTATTTTAATGGAATCAAATGTGGTTCTTCTGTGAAATCACTCCAAAAATCACTTTTTAGGATCTTTATTTTATGATTTTAGTTATGGTCCTTACATGATCTCTTGTTTTCCACAGGAGGGGCTTGCAGGCAAAATTTCGAGCTTCTCCACCCGATTTGGACGAAGCATTTTGAGGCCGCCATCAGCACATAAACACCTTCCTCTGGGCTCTCTTGCCTGTCCTGGAACACAAAGTGTCTTTCATGATGATCATCTAAAACAATAAGAATCAGTGCAAGCAGGTCTGCATTCAGTGGTCAATGATTCTAATGTTTACATGAAAAGCTCCAGACTTTCTTACCCCTGACGTCGACCACAAGCAGACAGATGAGAGCCAAAGCTGCAGCCGTCTTCATTTCAGTATCAGTCTTGAAGATCTGGTCAGGTTCAGAGATGGCTTGAAGTTCTACTAGTGAGTGAAGGTGATCCAGTGCTTTAATTTATACTCTAAACTGGGGCTTCCCCACCTGAAATGTTGTCTTTGTGGTTTTGATTTAAACCCAATTTTACTTTTTGTTTCAAAGTGCTGTAGCTTCCTTTTTCTTCTAGCCTTTTCATTTCTCGGAAACTTTCTCTGAGGGCTGCTAAGGTCTCGTGCAAGTGAGGATCAGGACTAAACTTAAGATGAATAGAAGTGTGCAGAATGCAGACATGAGATTTAGGAGAGAGGTCAGCAGGCTGATTGTTTCTTGTGTCAGGCTACAATACAGAGTTTTCATTCACATCCATATTGGATGAAAGTGAAAAAGCCACTCCTGCTTCAAAACTGATGTACAGTAGGAAGATGGGTGTTAGGTTAGTTTCAACAAGTTCACTACTTCCAGCTGCACACCTGTGAAACTGAAAATTGTTTCCAAGGTTATTAGGTTGTGACTGTCTATCCATCCATTAAGTGAACTAAGTTACACTGAGAGAGTGAAATAGAGAGCAGGCATTGTCCCTGTAGTTTGTCATCCTGTTTTAGGTATGTAGAGCTGTGTTCTTCAGGCCCTGTATGTTATAATGCTTCCTCTGCTTTAACACTTCAAATCAGGCTTTGTACAAAGCAGAGAAAACACTAACATAGAGCAGGGGCCTCCAGGGCCACTCACTCCATCACTCACATGTGAATGTGAAAGAGTCAAATGCAAACGTTTGGGCTCCCTGGTCAACTTTTATGTTTTGATGATTTTCTAAGTAAAATTAAGTCAACACATCCTTTACTGAGAACACAAGTCTGCACATTTTAATGCACTATAACTAGTTATTTGCTGAATTTAACATCTTGTAAAAAAATACATAGTGTGGCAAAAGTTATTTTATGTTTTTTTTCCAATGTGCTAAACTCAGCAAATAAATAGAAATAGTGCATTAAAATGTGCAGAAAATTGCCATTTTGAAGTTTCCTGTAGAGCACATGTTTCAGGCTCCAGTCCTCGCAGGCCAAATCACTTCAGCACGCTGCCACATTAAACACACCTGATTCAGCTCATCAGCCAATTAGCAAGGCCTTCATGAACTGAATTCAGAGCATTAGATGAGGGTAAGTGCTAATATCTGCAGCACTTTTGCCTGGAAGGTCCCTGGCTTTACATGCCTGCTGAAGAGGATACATTAACTTATTTTCACTTAGAAAAACAAAACGGTACCTTCTGCCAGACGGCAACAGTGAAAAAAGTCCGTGTGAGGGATGGATGGGGTTGTCCACAATGCTGGTGGCCTTGCGGATGCAGCGTGTGGTGTAGATGTCCATGATGGAGGGGAGAGAGACCCCGATGATCTTCTCTGCTGTCCTCACTATATGCTGTAGGGTCTTGCAGTCGGAGACGGTGCAATTCCCAAACCAGGCGATGATTCAGCTGCTCAGGATGGTCTCCACAGTCCCCCTGTAGAACATGGTGAGGATGGGAGGGGGGAGATGAGACTTCTTCAGTCTCCACAGGAAGTAGATGCGCTGCTGGGCTCTATTGGCTATGGAGTTGGTGTTGAGGGACCAGGTGAGGTTCTCTGTGATGTGGACACCGAGGAACTTGGTGCTCCTGACGATTTCCACAGCAGGGCCAGTGATGTTCAGTGGGGGGTGGTCACCTTGTAGTCTTCTGAAGTCAACAACCATCTTCGTAGTTTTGTCCACATTCAGAGACAGGCTGTTGGTTCTGCACCAGTCTGTTAGCCGCTGCACCTCCTCTCTGTACGCTGACTCATCATTCTTGCTGATCAGACCCACCACAGTTGTGTCATCAGCAAACTTGATGTGATTTGAGCTGTACTTTGCAGTGCAGTCGTGAGTCAGTACAGTGAACAGCAGTGGACTAAGCACACAGCCCTGAGGGGCACCGGTGCTCAGTATGGTGGTGCTGGAGATGTTATTACCTATCCTGACTAACTGAGGTCTCACAGTCAGGAAATCTAGGACCCAGTTACAGAGGGAGGTGTTCAGGCCCAGCAGGCTCAGTTTTCCAATCAGCTGCTGAGGGATGATGGTGTTGAATACTGAGCTGAAGTCTATGAACAGCATTCTGACATAGGTGTCTCTATTGTCCAGGTGGGTGAGAGCCAGGAGATGGCGTCATCTGTTGAGGCAATATGCAAATTGCAGTGGGTCCAGTGAAGGAGGGAGCTGGTCTTTAATGTGCCTCATGACAAGCCTCTCGAAGCACTTCATGATGATGGGAGTGCGTGCAACGGGACGGTAGTCATTGAGGCAGAACACTGGAGACTTCTTCGGCACAGGGATGATGGTGGTGGACTTGAAGCACGTTGGAACGACTGCAGTGCTCAGAGAGATGTTGAATATGTCCATGAGAACATCAGCCAGCTGTTCAGCGCATTCTCTGAGCACTCTGCCCAGTATGCTGTCAGATCCTGGTGCTTTTCGTGGGTTGACTCTGTGTAGAGTTCTCTGCACATCAGCTGTGGACAGACACTGTACCTGTTCAGTTAGCTACCAACTAATGCTATGTCTACAGTATCTAGTGCCTTAACTTTTATGCCTTGTAAAAAAACAAAGACTTGTTCAGATTTTGGCCAGTGTTTTGTCTGGCTAATCATGTATTTCCTTAAGATTTACATTTTATGTTTGGTTTCTATGACAAAGTTACATTCAGAGTTCAGTTCAGAGAGCAGTGGTAGACCATCACAGTGAGAGACCGACTGTTCTCCTGTTGCTTGGTGGGGGTTTGAGGGTGGCAGTGAGGGTGGCAGTCATTGCTGGAGGCTGATTCAAAGTTCACACTTCTTACTTTTAAATTTTGGACAGTGTGGAGATAAACTAAAATATTTTAGCTGCTGGAGTTGTGGCTTCTGTGAATCCCTGACTTCCACTACCTCACTACCTCACTAATCCAGCTGCTGAGATTGTCTGTTATCATGACTGAAAGGTCAACTGTCAGCTATCGAATGTCGACAGATACTGACATGAAAGCTGATATAAAGCAAACATTGTTCTGCATGTTGTTATAGCATACATATATAGTATATTATAGTAGTCTGCTTTGAATAGTATACACGTTAGCAGTCATTAGTATTCTTTATAACTGAATTTATACTTTTACTCATGTCGTCACCGTTACGCTGGTCAATGACGTACAGTTTAATCTGAGGGATTTCTTGCATCACACATGAAAGCGGGTAAAGGCACTCCTGCTTTCACGCTGACATCATAACTGAAAAATCAAATATCAGCTCATCAACAGATGCTGACCGCAAAGTTGATATTGAGCAAACATTGTTATGCATGTTGTTAATAAGGAAAACATCACATTTGTTTCTGTAGATTTCAGGCACCTTAATGTGCTCAATTTATTATGTCTCAGATATCAACATCAAAACCAACAAAGTACAATAAAAAAGAAAAAATAATCTTACAAAGTCTTAAAAGTCTGTACATTCAACATCTCACAGTACCTAGCTATATAACAGCATCACTTTTATAAATTAAACATTAGACATATATACAGTATTTACAATGTACAAGTAGTTTAAGCACATTTGTGTACATTTAAGTAGCTTAAGTATTTGGGGTAACTAAATACAGTCAGCAGGTTCACTGTCTCAGTGCTCACAATGTTCACAACCTCCTCTTCCACATCTTTACTGTTGTTGTGTCACAGGCTTCCTGAAAAACAAACATAAAAATATTCATTTTAATTTGATCCCCTTTTGCTTAAAAACATATTTTGGTCTTTAGTGCTTTTTCACTGAATAACAGCTCAGAATACTGTAGAACCATCAGTCTTATTGTATTCAAGCTGATGTTCTCGCCTCTTTTTAATGGCTCTGTTGATGTAATTATGGGGAAAACTGGATTTTTTGAAGCATTTTTGTGCACCGTTCTTCAAAGTGACACTAAAAGAGCCAAAACAAACCAGTTATTTGATTTGAACTGTTTGGTATTTTACATCATTTGATTTTTAATTTGATGGAAACTTACATAATTACTATATTTTCACAAGATGGACCAGCAGGATAAACTTCAACCTTCTCAACACGTTGTAGACGAACCATGTTCACCCCAGAACCTTGACATAGGCACCTCTTTACACTCAGCATGGTTTGACCTGCAAACAAATACAGTTATATATCATACATATCTTTAACTACAGTATTATATTTGCTACAAATAAATTTAGAAAGATCTGATCAGTGACAGAAAGACTCCTACCTTGTACATGCACCATAAGCAGACAAGCAAGAACAACAAAAGCTGCAGCAGATTTCATTTTGCTCTTGTTCTTAAAGAAGCTCTCTGTGATGATTTGGATTAGCTGGTTTTTGCTCAGACAGCTGTCAGGATGAAGAGGTGACCGAATGTGAGCTTTAATCCTCTTTTATATGCTCAGATTAGGCTTTCTCTGCTATTTTGGTGGACATGGCCTTTTTTGGAGCTGCTTTCTCTTCCTGAATCTTGCTTCCTCTTGAATTTCCTACTTCTTGGAAATGTTTTAGTCAGCAGTTCATTAGGCTAGATTTCGTCATGATGATTTGGATGTCTTGTCTCATGTAACTGTACTGCATAGTTCTCCAGACCAGCATTGAATAACTGATTTTTTTTTAGAAAAGCATATAATCCTTGTAGCATAAATTTACACTGTAATTGTCATGGTTTCTCTCCTCTGAGGAGACTTTACCTGTCTAGACTGGCTCACCTCAACTTCAGGTGGATCCTGGCTTCGTATTCATCATCACAGCTGCAGGTTGTTCATGGACTCAATAACACTCATATACACGCCCCATTTGCCATATTTCTCTCTGCATTTTTGGCCCATTTACTTGTTCCTATTTTTTGTTGCTTCAGGCGTTTTTATTCTTAGACCATGCATCATTGATTGGTTTTATGTAGCCATCACATGACATAGGTAAATCAGACATGATCATCATTGCAATCAATTATATTTATATTTGGCAGACTTCCAGAGCCACTGACAGTAGCAGGAGAATGTGATGTGATTTAGGCCCAGTTTTTGGTATTGCAGTGGCGTTCCGGTTGTGCGATCCACACATCAGTGCAAAATCAGAGCTGAAGTTAAAATATCAGTAGTTTTCTATAATTATTCAGTGTGAAATTGGACATATTTTTCTCTTTTAAATATGAATAATATATTGGCTGCTGATATTTCATGCACTCCTACCTACCTACTTACTGACCTAGACCTGTATATCATTATGCAGCTTTAAAAGTACCAGTTCCTGTGGAATGAAGATGAAGCTTCAAGTTATGCTAAAAATGCATAAACTAACCTGTTTTCCATCATCTTCTCGATGAGCTCCTGGACAAAGTTGGACTCTGGGTTCAAGCATTTCTTCCCTGCACCGTCCTTCAGAGTGGCACAGCACATAAACACATAGATCAGTCTACATGTGTACTGAATGGCAGTGCTTAAATATTAGGGGTTCTTTAGAGTGATGCCATAAAAGAACCACTTTTGGTTCCCTAAAGAACATTTCAGTGAATGTTTCTTCAAAAAACTGATTTTAATGAAACAAAATGCGTCTTTTTTGTTGAATCACTCCAAAAATCGCTTTTTGGCATTTTTATTTTATGATTTTAGTTATGGTCCTTACATGATCTCTTGTTTTCCACAGGAGGGGCTTTGAGGCAAAATTTCGAGCTTCTCCACCCGATTTAGACGAAGCATTTTGAGGCCGCCATCAGCACATAAACACCTTCCTCTGGGCTCTCTTGCCTGTCTTGGAACACAAAGTGTCTTTCATGATGATCATCTAAAACAATAAGAATCAGTGCAAGCAGGTCTGCATTCAGTGGTCAATGATTCTAATGTTTACATGAAAAGCTCCAGACTTTCTTACCCCTGACGTCGACCACAAGCAGACAGATGAGAGCCAAAGCTGCAGCCGTCTTCATTTCAGTCTCAGTCTTGAAGATCTGCTCAGGTTCAGATCTGCTCAGGTTCTAAACTGGGGCTTCCCCACCTGAGATTCTGTCCATGTGGTTGTTTTGACTGAGAGTCAGTTTTATGTTTTGGTTTACAGTGCTGTAGGTTCCTCTTTCTTCTAGCCTTTTCATTTCTCGGTAACTTTCTCTGCATACTGCTAAAGTCTCGTGCAGGGGAGCATCAGGGCTGAACTTCAGATGAAACTGTAAAAGTGTGCCGAAAGTAGGCGTTTTCACAGTTACTTGTGAAAATAAGTATTTCACAATTTTATAAATGTATTTCCTTGTGAATTATTAATTATTTTCCATTCACATCCTAATAGGATAGCCATGATAGAGGAGACAAATTAGAATGTTAGCCCTACACATAGTTCTACATAGTTAGCAGCAAATAAAACAAATAAGCTAAGGTTATATTATACATTCTTGTCACACCAACTCAATCAGACATTTTTCTCAGCAACCACAAGATGTTTGGACTTATCAAAACTGCAACTGGTTTTGAATACTATACACATTGGCAGTCATTAGTATTCTTTACAACTGAATTTATACTTTTACTCATGTCGTCACCGTTACGCTGGTCAATGACGTACAGTTTAATCTGAGGGATTTCTTGCATCACACATGAAAGCGGGTAAAGGCGCTCCTGCTTTCTCGCTGACATCATAACTGAAAAATCAAATATCAGCTCATCATCAGATGCTGACCGCAAAGTTCATATTGAGCAAACATTGTTATGCATGTTTTTAATAAGACACATCACATTTCTGTAGATTTCAGGCACCTTAATGTGCTCAATTTATTATGTTTCAGATATCAACATCAAAACCAGCAAAGTACATAAAAAATAATCTTAAAAAGTGTTTCAGAAACATCTGTAGGTTTATCATCTTACAGTATATATTTATAGAATTGCATCACTTTTATAAATTAAACATCAGACATATTTACAGTATTTACAATGTACAAGTAGTTTAAGCACATATACAAGTTCATAAATTAAAAGACGTTTACAATTTCAAATACAATTTTTCAAATACAAATACAATTTTCACAATACACTAGTAGTTTAGGTGCATATATATATGTGTGTGTGTGTGTGTGTGTGTGTGTGTGTGTGTGTGTGTGTGTGTGTAGCTTAAATATTTGAGGTAACTATAAATAGGGTTCACTGTCTCAGTGCTCACAATGTTCACAATCTCCTCTTCCACATCTTCACTGTTGTTGTGTCACAGGCTTCACTGCAGACTCACTGAAAAACAAACAAAAAATATTCATTTTAATTTGATCCCCTTTCACTTAAAAATATATTTTGGTCTTCAGTGCTTTTTCACTGAATAACAGCTCAGAATACTATAGAACTATCAGTCTTACTGTATTCAAGCTGATGTTCTCACCTCTTTTTAATGGCTCTGTTGATGTAATTCTTGGCAAAACTGGATTCTGGGTTCAAGCATTTTCGTCCTGCACCGTTCTTCAAAGTGACACTAAAAGAGCCAAAACAAACCAGTTAGATGACTGAAAGGATCTGAACTGTTTGATATTTTACATCATTTGATTCTGAATTGATGAGGACTTACATAATTTCTACATTGTCACAAGATGGACCAGCAGGATAAACTTCAACCTTCTCAACACGTTGTAGACGAACCACGTTCACCCCAGAACCTTGACATAAGCACCTCTTTACACTCGGCCTGGCCTGACCTGCAAACAAATACAGTTATATATATTTTAACTGTGGTGATACATCTGTTTGTTTGTACAGAACACAATTAGCCACACATACCCAGCTGTCACTGTGTCTTAAGATGTCTTGACAGTATTTATAAGATGTCTTGAGACGTTTTCTTATGCCAAGACATCTTAAGATGCGTGTCTATAGACATGTCTTAAAGACATGTCTTCATTTCTTAAGACATGCCTCAAGATGTCCTAAGACGTCCTACCTTGTACACGCACCATAAGCAGACAAGCAAGAACAACAAAAGCTGTAGCAGATTTCATTTTGCTCTTGTTCTTAAAGAAGCTCTCTGTGATGATTTGGATTAGCTGGTTTTTGCTCAGACAGCTGTCAGGATGAAGCAGTGACTGAATGAGAGGTCTTAGTCCTCTTTTATACGCTCAGATTAGCATTTCGCAGCTGTTTTGGCGGACATGGCCTTTTTTGGAGCTGCTTTCTCTTCCTGAATCTTGCTTCCTCTTGAATTTCCTACTTCTTGGAAATGTTTTACTCAGCAGTTCATTAGGCCAGATTTCATCATGATGATTTGGATGTCTTGTCTCATGTAACTGTACTGCATCGTTCTCCAGACTAGCATTGAATAACTGATTTTTTTAGAGAAGCATATAATATATATATATATATATATATATATATATATATATATATATATATATGTCTGTCTGTCAGGGTGGTATCATTAAATTTCATTATTCAATTTATTATTAGATAATATAGTGGTGTCTTGATTTGACACATTGTTTGATACAAGAAACATCAGGTGGGGCTGAAAATGTACCTTACCTTAATATGTTATATTATGCTAATGTTTCCATTCAACATTTAGAGATGTCACCAGGGATTTTGGGCCACATGAAAATATATCATTTTGGGTCCCACCACAACAAGCCACACCAACCTTAAAATATGACACTGTGCAGATGTGTATGCAACATTCTGCATACAGCAGAATTCACTATTTGAAGCAAGGCTTATAGCCTGTGTAACAAATGTGCTAAAGGCCATATTTTACAGTTTAATTGTAATTTTAATGGTAAAATCCTTGAACAGAAAATTCTAACCACTTTGTTCTGTGCTTTTGCCTGCACAATGAGAAGAACTAGTCAGTCGGAGCTTGTAAAGGGATAATTAGGTGAAAGGTCATTTAGGTGAGAGGTCAGCAGGCTGACTTGTTTCTTGTATCAGGCTGAATTATTGCCATTGTTAGTCATTAATTCCCATTCACATCCTAATTTGATAGCCGTGATAGAGAGGAAAAATCTGAATATTTATCTACACTGACAATGCGACAGAAAATTAATTCTCTATGTTCAGTGGTAAATTAAAGCAAATAACAATAAATTATCAAAACTGCAACTGACATTGAATATCAGACACATTAGCAGTCATTAGTATTATTTGTAACTTAATTTATACTTTTACTCATTTTGTTACAGTAACGTTAGTCAGTGTCTTACAATTTAATCTGCAGGATTTCTTGCATCACACGTGAAAGTGACACTCCTGCTTTGAAACTGATGTACAGTAGGAGGGTGTTAGTTTCTAAAAGTTCAATACCTTCACCTTCACATCTGTGAAATTGAAACAAAACTGTCCTGCTCTTCTTGAGTGGGAAGGAGTTCACATATGTTTATTGTTTATAC